ATAGAGGGAGAGGAGCAAAACTGAGTGAGAGAGGGAGGGAAAGTGGATGTCCGTAAATATCACAGAAAGAGGGAGAATTAATGAGTGGGGAGGGATAAAGAAGTGATCTGGGCTTAGCAGCTCAGACAAGGCTGAAATGAAGACACCCAAACTGGGGATCGCTGTGCTCTTGCGGTGAAGTCACACTCTTGGAAGGCTGAATTTGGCAAGGGAAGCTTTTCTTCCTGTCCCAGGTGAGCCAGACATTTGACATCACCATAAACGCCGTGGATGACTCCTTGCCCATCGTGCAAATCTTTGGGATGACAGTTCAGGAAGGGGTGAGAAAAACCATCACGGAGTTTGAGCTCAAAGCGACAGATGCTGACACAGAGGTAAGGCAGGACCACCCCCAGCCTCCTTGCTCCCCTCTTGTGCTGCACATCTGGGCTTGTGTTTAAAGACTTAATGCTGAATTTATGCTCAGCATGGATGGAAATGGCACTTCCTCTTCTTCCTGGGTCTGGCCAGAGGCTGAGCTGTCTAACACTGGCTCTATCCCACTGCTGTTTCCCCTGCAGCAAGAGATCTGGCTGCCTGAGCCAAAATCCTGCCCCCAAGGTTTTTGCCCTGGCAGAAGTGGCAAGGGACACACTGCCCAGAATGGCTGCAGGACTGGGGGCTGCTCTTGTGTTCGTGGAGCAGGCACAGGGGTGGGTGGGAGCTGTCTCAGACCAGCTGAAGCAGGAATTCGGTGGGATGTGCCTTGTTTTATAGGGAGACACCTACAAAACAAAATCCCTTGGGAGAGGGACAAGGACAGGGCGGGGCTCAGGGGGAACCAGGAATGTTCTGTGCTAACCCTTGTGTTGGGAACACCAACGCAGGGGAGCTGCCTGGCCAGAATCCCTGTCCGGGCCTCCTGAGCTGGAAGGGCAGTGTCCTGAGGTCGTGTCCCCAGCTTTGCCCCTCCATGTCTGGGCACAGGTGGAGTCCCTGACGTTCGGGGCGGTGCAGCCGCCCCGGCACGGGCTGATGGAGCGCAGCGGCCGCGGGCAGCGTCCTCTGCAGGCCACCACCTTCACCAGGGATGACATCACATCTACCAGAAGCGCGGCAGCTGCAGGCACGGCGGCGGCAGCGCGCTCAGGGACCGCTTCACCCTCACCGTCTCCGACGGCACCAGCCCCCTCTTCGTGGTGCAGGAGGGAGGGAAGAAGGTCAGGGAGGAGAAGGGATGGGAGGGGGCCTTGGGAGCTCACAGGGAGCTGCCTCCTCTCGGGGCAGGGGGGGCTGAGCTGCTGACTGAACGTTCTCGGTCACGTCTTTGCTTCTTCCCCTCCCTGCAAACTCTGCCCTTGGTGCCAGCAGAGCCGAAGGGAGCCGAGCTGGTGACGTGGTGGCTGAGGCTCTGACTCGCACAGTAACCCCCGTGTCTCTGAACTGGTGTCAGGTGGTGACGGCAGCACCGCAGCGCTTCCAGGTGGACATCCTCCCTGTGGATGACGGGACACCCAGGGTGGTCACCAACCTGGGCCTGCAGTGGCTGGAGTACACGGATGGCAAGGTAACAGCTGCCTGGCCTCAGCTTGGGCTGCTTCTCAGGCTGCTCCAGGAGAAGGGGCTTCACAGGAGAGCATCCTCATCCTTCAGCACTTTGATTTTTGGGATGGAGAATACCCTCCCCAGGGTACATTTTCAGCTTTGCTGACGGTGGAGATGTCTTGATGATGTGCGGCAGAGATAGATGGCTTTCCAAGGATACGGTGCAGGAGTTTCTTGCTGTGAAACAAATGCCTTTGTTGTGTTGAAATCCAAACAAAACCCCACAAAACTCTCAGCTTGTTTTTGAGGAGCCAGCACTAACTGTAAAGAAACACTTTGGTTCTTCCCAGAAAAAAAATGAGTGGAAAACGCTGTCGTAAGAAATTGCATTAAGAAATGGCTATCTCAGCTCAAACTCCTCACTTCAGGAAAAGCACTCCTGCAGCCTCGAGCAGCTCAATTTTCTCTCTTTCTCCTGCTGTCAAAAACATTCTGCTTTTGAAGAGAAAGCAAAATGTGGTGGAACTGAATCAGATCCATGTAAGGGCATTTGAAAAGTGCTCTCCTGGAGGCTCTCCAGGGCTGTGCAAACTGTCTTGAGTCCTTCAATCTGAGGCTGTTTGCAGATGTTCTTTTGCCGAGCAGGGCCTCACCTGAGCGTCAGCACAGCTCGTGGAACAGAACTTTCTAAGTGAAGCCCAAAGATTTGTCCTAGCTTTTAGCCCCAGCTAAATAAGGCTGGGCAGCTGCTTTGGAATTTGCTTTTCTTTGAGCCACATCTGTCTTTTTAATTAAAAACTAAATCTGGTTCAATTAAACCAGATGCGAGGCAAAATTTGAATCTTTGTTGTGTTGTCAAACACGTTGTGGGATATCTCAGTTCAAGGCTGCTCTGTGCTTTCACATCCCTAGATTTTCCCTTTGTCTGTTTTAACAGAGGGATGGTCGGGCTTTTTGTGTGAACAGTCAATCAGACTTGCACTGCTGGAGCTTCAGTTTTACTCCCTTGGTTTTGGCTTTAATCCAGGCCACCAATCTCATCACTAAGAAGGAATTACTGACGACAGATCCTGACACAGATGACAAACAGCTGATCTATGAGATAACAGCCGGTCCCAGAAATGGCCACGTGGAGAACAAGCTGAAGCCGGGCACAGCTGTGACCACCTTTACACAGGGTATGGAGCTGGGCTGTGTCCTGCTGCTTTTTTCCATCACTTGATTCAATTTGTTAAAATAAGGGAAAAATAGGTGTGAGGGGAGAAGACAAGGGGCAGATCTCCAAAGTGTGTGGCTGTCAGTTGCAGAAATCCTGTAATTTCTTGGAGACACGAACCTGTGTCCTGCAGCTTGTCCCAGGTTCTCCAGGCTTGTTAGAGCTGGAGCTGTGACTTGGGGCAGTGAAGAGGGGTTATAGATCTTGCAGGAGGTGTTCATCACAGTCTGGCAGAGGTGTGGCTAGCTGTGCAGAGCCAGCAAAATGTGGGGAGAGTTCACTCTTGCGGGGCTGAGGGAAGGGGAGGTGAGGGGGTAACTGCTCCCTGTG